GGGGGGCGTGCATGCACGGTCCCGTACCACTGACCTAGTGTGACAGAGAGGACTGTGTTTCTAGGGTCAGGGGCAGGCTGGCTTGTTTGGACCAGGAGAAAGAAAGCAAGTTGCTTGAAGGTTTGGCTGCTGCTGCTGTTTGTTTGCCCTATTAAGTCGAATGTTACGACCTCATCTTGGAAACGAGTTGGATCGTTTAGGGTGGAGTGGCTTGTGGGGGGGGAGAGAGAGAGCGAGCGGGGGCCACGTAGTATCGTATTCGAAGGTCACGACCGCTTCGCGAACAACGACTTTCCAAGTGTTGTCGCGGTTCATCGTGACATCGATGGCACATAATGCCACTTGAGCAGTATCGTCCGGTGTGGTCCTCTCTCGCTGTACCCATTTCGTGTCCCGAGTGTGGCGGCGAGATTGACGTGGGCGGGTGCTGTGTATGGCGGGCGGTAGGTGTCTCTCTTCTCTCTCCTCTCTCTCTCCCCTCTCTCTCCCATGTGTGTGTTTCGTGTGTGTTTGATGTAGCATTCCGTGTTGTTCTTTGTCGATCTCTCGAGCATCAAGTAGTATGAATTGCGACAACATCAAGAGTGTTTTGTTCAATTTGTCTGTATGTTGAACTGTGCTTGTCTGGGCAGGGATCAACGCCCTTCTCCTGGCGGTGTTGTCTCTCATTTGCTGCTTTCCGCTTCTCGGCATGCCTTCCTCCCTGGGCAGCTATCTCCCTACCATTCCCTCTACTGTAGGGCTTGCGGTATGGTGTTGCCCAAGGGCGTGGGGGCTCTTGTATGGGAAGTCAGATAAAGGAGGCGCCTGTAAGTTGTTTTTTTTGCGGCCGGTTCGGAATGACGCTGCGTGCGGCGTGCTGCGGAACCTCCAAACTGGTAAGCATTGTGTCGGTTACTTTTCGCTGTGATGATGGTGCACGGAAAGGAGCGGTAGGAGAAGCCGCAGCCTCGAGCTGTAGACGACGCGATAATAGTATCAAGTCTCAACAGGTGGCAGAGGCTTGGGGGGGTCCTCGCGATTGCAGATGGTGCCGTGCTGCATTTCACTCTATCTTCTAGTATATTTTTTGTCTGCCCTCCCACTCGTTCGCATGTGCGTGTGACCGTTAGCTCCGGAGGAAATTTCCGTGAAATGTCCTTGAGAATAGAGGAGCTTTCAAAGCTGGTTCTCGTGTGTTGGTAGTTATTAGTTAGGAGGCCAGGAGAGAGAGTGAAGGGGGCCAGGGGTCCGGGGGTAAGGAAAGAAAAGGGGGGGGGGCTAGACTTGCTTTCGTGTGTCTCATCTCGTTCACACGGTTCGGAGTTGCCTATGTTTGTCTGTTTCATAGGTGTTCCTTCACTATACTTACGTACGTACGTGCACGTTGTCGTTGTCCATTGCTTACAAAAATACCCCATTATAGGTGCACTCAATTGTGGTTGTAGCTTCCAAGGCTCTCGTCTCGTCCCCATTCAACCAGTCGACTAGTGTCGAACAGCAGCGAGAATTATAAATCGGGAGCCGGCTGAGCTACTGCTATTTAGCTAGCACCAACACGGCGCTAGCCGCGTGTGCACTTCGATTGCCTTCAGACCTGCCGATTTTCGTTCACCCTGCCGTAGTAGTGAGGCTGCTCATGAGAAGATTGTACGGGCGTTTCGACCGTTAGGCCCGATGAAAACATGGGCCGGCCAGGTTGTGCGAGCGGTGGGGAGGGGGGGCGGTGATGCGTCGGGGGAGGTATGCGTGGGCGCAGGCTCGCGCGTTTGTTTCAAAACATGTTCATAGACTTTTTGTATGTCGAGGCAGGGTCTTCTCATTAAGGGATGGGGGGTAAGAGAAGGGGGAGGGGGGGGGGGG